CATGACCGGCACGTAAAACCACCCGTCGGCGAATATTGAAACAATATTGCCAATTATACGCTCATAAAGACGTTCTCACACTCTTCCGGACACTTTATCAAACAACAGATGTCCGCAGAGAATTTCACGGCGGTAACGGGGTATAAAACATTGATTAGCGTATTTTATTACTATTGCCTTTATCGCACGCGTTTTTTCGGAATGGTGTTTATTCAAAGAACGATTATAATGAAACTTCCCTGCAATAATGCACTTCTAAACGAACGCCTATTAAACAGCAATTGTACTTATTGTTATGTTAATTTTCCGAGATATTGTAGGCTTAGACCACGCTACTCCTACAAAGGTCAATTAGCTATTATGTTGTTAGTTTCTGAAGTTATGTTGACTCGAATCTTAATTATACTCTTTATTATTTATAATTATTTTTACCCCTTTGACAAAACAATCAAAGAGAATGTCTTTGTAGATGGAAAATAATAAATAAAGTTAAACGGTTACACTTTTAACCAGCAGACTTATTTCCTCACAAGATCCCACCACTGTAACTAACACCTGACTAACACCTGACTAACCAAACTAACACCCGACTAACACCTGACCATATATTTACAAACCCTAACAAAATGTTACAAACATTTTACTACTATATGAAAATGACATTAACCCAGACTTACGTTTATCATTTGTCCTCAAATCAGGTGAGAACGTCGAGATGTGAAAACTATTGTTACAGGTTTGATAATACTGATACTGAATGTTTCCACTCTTTCATTATGGGTAACCTGGAACCGTTAATCCAGAACTGATTATGGGTACGATACAAAGATTAAAGATGAACGAGTTTTTTGGATTTTAGTTTCAGTTTTAGGTCTCACAAATGACAGTTCACAATTTGGTGTGACATCATGTTGTGTAACAAATATGAAATAATAAAATTAAGGATTTATAACTTTACAATAACTTACTGAGTTACTCACTTAATTACAGTACTAAATAAGTACACCCTGGTATTTGGTAACCTAGTAACCCTTGGTAACCTAGTAATCTGCTTGAATTTAGTAACTCAAATACCCTGAACACAAGAGACCGTCAGACGAAAGTAGCTCCTCCTCCCCTCCCGGTAACGGCACTAACTCCACACATTTCAGACCAACCCACGTGGTAACATGACGACATCTGATTGGCTACCCTGATGAGACCACCACTGTGATTGGTGTTTCTCAGGAACCGTGGTACGAAAGTTCAAGAGGGCTCGAGGCACGGCTACTATAATTTAAAAATAATTCTTACCCCGCCTTAATCCAACACCAAGAAACACGATTCTATTGAGGATGAGACTTTTTTCGGTTGCAAATTACTCGGGTTGAATTGACAAAGAGTTATTCTAGGTTGCAGGATCTCGAGATTGAAGAATTATCAAATTTGTTGGAGCCAAACTGATTTTAAATTCTATTGAAAGGGGCCCAAAGTATTTGGTAGATCGTTAAGTATGGTGTGATGATTGATAGGGCGTCAGTGCTAACTGATCGGTCCCATGTTCCATAATACTCGGCCCGACATCGCAACAAGAATCTCCACGACAGCTTAACTTATTCAATTTTATCAGGTGAATGTCTATTTCATATTTTGAATTCGGTACAGCAAAATCACTGGATGATAAATTCAAATCACGAGTCGAATCTATCAGGTGATTGGATCAGGCAAAACAAAATACAGATCAAGGCAAACATCCGAATAGGGGTTAAACCAAGAATGTAAATAAACTCACAGTATAAATGTAAAAGAATCCACACACTAACTATATCGTAATGGGGCAGCTTTGGCAAGACAAAGAAAACTATTCATTATGAATAGAAGCTTGTACTCCTTCAGATTTGAGATTCGTGCACGTACGACGCGACGAATCGAAATGTAGTATTAATAATAATGGGCAATTCTGTGAGAACAATAAAATATAGGAAAGTTCCAAAGCTAAAGGTACGACCACATAGGATACATAAGATATTGATAACTGGTTTTCTGTCCCCGGTCGAAGTGACGATCGAGTGTGACCGGTGACGGCTAACGAATGACCAAAACAACAGATCCAACGTCCAATGTCATGTCATATTGTCGCGAATCCACCAATTTGAGTAGCCAGTGATCGTCTCTTTACAAGTGAGTAGACAAAGAGTAACACTGCACAAGAGAATTCGGATTATCCAAACTGTAGATGTGATGTATGGGTCGTGTAAGAAGTGATAAGAAAACGCGCGGTAATTTATTCGGCGTGTGGTTAATTGTGTAAGTGTAACGGATGTAACATTACTGAATTCTGCTTGGATTTGAACAGTGCGCGGCTCTTTAAATCACGTGCGAGTAAATCCATATTTTAATTGAAACAGGTTTGAACTGTAAACTTTACACTCTGAAACTTAAACTTTAAAATTGAGTTAACTTCATACTTAAATGACTGTGCAAGTCAAGCAACAACATACCAATCAATTATTTATTGACACTGACAGTAATGGTATGCAATATTACTGAAAAACAAGAAAATGAAAGAGCACGTGGTGTGATTGTAAGATAGAAGTTTCAAACTAAAGTTAACAGATTTGTTCTTGATGTGTTCTCCTAGCCGTATAATTACTTTACACTGCCTTTACTACCGAATGCAGGCAATGTCTAAAACATCGTACCAACGATTTACGATTGCACTCTTATATTATTACATTTCAAAATAATTAATACTAAACAAACAAAACTCAGAAATTTAATCAAGTACTTAAGCGTGCTCCACAAATGACCACATCACTTGATTAAAATAGGACTCGAGCGTTCAAATATATGCCAAACTTTGAGCGGAAGTTATTTACCCGTGCTGGAAAATGAACTGAAATCTCGAACAGTACGAACTTAAGTTTGTTGATGATATTTTTTCGCAATTACTACCGAATGCAGACAAAATCTACAACAGACAATGGTTACAATCGCTTTAAAAAACATTACAGACTCAGTTGATTTAACAAGCTCAATTAAGGACTGTTGCTGACGGTGACAAATCTTTTAACTTCAGTCTGCACCTCAACATTATGTTTACTGCTACTATTATACTACTACTATACTAGTACTGCTACTAGCTTCCACCCATACCTTCCGTATGTTCTTGGGACTAGAAAATTAAATTGACATTTTAAAGTACCCAGTACTAAGCTTAAACAAACAAAACTGACAAATTCAATCAAGCAATGTTTCGTTAACAATAAACATATTATGATCAGCTTCAGCCTTCAGTGTTTAAAATGGACCAAGAAAATTTCATCTTTAAATGAATGATCTGTAAACGTCAACGTGCCAACACAGCTTCGGCAAATGATTGCATGCTATCTAAACGTATAAATCTGCAGTCTCAGACACACAGTTCAGCAACCCTATGTGCGACCAAATTTGGCAAGAATTTTTGAAGAATCTGCCGTATTTCGGTCCACTTGAAAATGTGAAAGTTCCACATTTAAGTTCAGTTAAGCATTACGTAATACTCGTCAAAGAATTTAACATAAAAAGGTGTCCTCCACAAGCACAGTGGTCACGTAAATCTCTCTGAATAACCACAGCACTTAAAATAGGGTAAAATCTGGCTGGAGCGTTAAACTGAACGAAGTATGTAGTTAGGCGGCCCTGAGAACGTGAATGGTGAACCAACATGCAAAATAAAGGCAGCCAGGTAATGGGTGGATCAAGACCATCCTCCCAGTTAAACAGCTAACATGTTTTAGATATATACTATACCTTATTACCCCTACTCGGTACTTTTTCCGGTCTCAGCTCTTACTGGGTTATCCAGTACTGAAGTTTTTCTACTAAACTTAATAAGGTTAAAGATTAAGAGGAGTGCTTTAACCGTAAACTGCACGCTGTCTCAGAATCCACTTTACTACCACTCACACATTTAATGTTGAACGACTGTTACGTTACCCTTACGTTACTGTTACGTTACTCATACTGTTACGACTTACGTTACTGCACCGTGATTAGATATCTAAAGTTAAACTACTGGAAATGTAGACCATGACAAAAAGGAATACTTCAATGAAATACAAATGAGAATATACAATGATACTGATAATTAGCGGCATGATTATCAATATCACTATCAGTATCCTGTATCAGTATCAGTATCAGTGGAACATATTTAACTGATAGTGACATAGGGACCCGACACGGGACCGAAATGGTAATTAAAGTTCTGCCATAAAATAAGGGCACTGCACACTTTTGATCTCTTCCTATAGTGAATGCGATTATAATTAAATTAAATCGATTCGTCAACTAAGTATGGTCAAAGCTGTCGTTAATTTCTCAATTCCAATCAATTTCAAAGAGAACAGGAATTATAAAGGAACTAAAACGTACACCATGACAAATCACCATGCAAAGTAGGATCTCTTCTTCCCTTGACAGCTAGCTGAATCTCACGTAAATCACTTACACAACGTATTCAGATTATTATTGGGCACTTTCCAACCCACTGACCACAAATCGTACCAGAACACATTCTTTCCCTCTCTCTCCCTGCCCCTGCTCGACCTATCCGGCGAGCAACCAATCCGGGTGATTAGGATGTGAAGATAGGGGCTATTGACAGGTATAACCGTGCCCTAAACCAAGGAGCACTTAACAGCAGGAACAACTACAACCTCTAGAAGAGCAGGAACCCAGCCAATGAGAGGTGATAACAGCGGTCACGTGACGAGGAGAGCACTGTGTTAGCCCTGCAGTCACGTGGTCTGTGTAGTGACAAGAATAACCACAGAGTGCGGTAAAACGGGAAACAAGTGTGGTTTGCTGGGGCTGTCAATCATTTGTCCTTGCCAAGGTGCATATCATGCAGTGTAGTGTTAGGAAGAGGTTAATTTGTCCCTTTTTAAAGCTTGTAAATTGAACTGGAGTATCAATTTATTATTAGTGTGTTTAGGTGCAACAATAGTCTAATGTAAGTACAAAATGAAAGGCTCTAATTTCAAATATATAAATGATAAAGGTTTCAAAACGATTTTATACAATAAGCTATCGGCAATTCACTCGCATATTCATTGGATAAAGAATTTAAAGAGCAAGAAAGTACAAATTGTTGCCGCCGTTTCATACTCGCAAAATTCAACAGTACAAATGTATAAGATTTAGAGAATACTAAAAAAAGTGTTGATTAGAAAACCAAAATAATATAGAAAACTAAATCGAGCTAGCTGCTATAAACTTTACAAACTAAAAGCCATAAAACCGACTACAAACAGATACAAACATGTACCGAAAATTATTAGGTGACAGATAAGGTGACACCTGAAACAGGTGACAAGAAGGGAGCTTAACCACAAAAACATAAACCTAACACAATTCGTAAACCTAAAGCTAGATTCTGTAATTACACTGGGTTTGATTTCCCCGTTTCAATAAGTTAACTAAATGTGAACATATCAACAGCGAAGGGGTTCCCTTACCGCAACGGCCGGACCGTCTAACTTAAAATAGTCATAATCTTATATCTCAAGCCACAGCATTATGAAATGTGGAAAATCTTAGCCTCAGCAATTTATCCCACTGCCGAAATATCCAAGAATATAGGGACGTAATTTCGGGGGTTATGAATGTTGCGGGGATTCTTCGGCAGCACACCGCAAGGGAGCACGCCAATTTTGTGAGGTGAGTTTAGAGGGGAAAAAATGTTAAATCTCAATATCATCAAGTTTAAATTCAAGAATTATATAAAAGAAAAATCAAAATTTATCAAAAATAACAATCTTGTAATCACAGTGTAAATCATAGATCAGAATGTTGCGTGAGAAGGATCTCAGAATCACCAGCACCTTCCTAAACTTCTAGAACAATCTTTCAGAACAACCAGTTCACCTTCCTCAAGTTCTAAAACCTTCAATCCAAGGTAGTTTTGAGTTCATCACCTTACTCTGCCTTCCCAGCCTAACAATTTACAATAAACCTGCTACTATTGAGCTATAAAACAACTGCACAAGCCCTCATGCAAAAACGGCACCACTATTTGCTAGTTCGTCTAGGCGGCAAGGGCGGCGGGCCCGGTTTTGGCATGGGCGCCCTGCTGGCGGTTTTGGGCGGCAGTGGCGGCGGTTTCCTCGCGTCAGAAGAGACGGAGGTCGGGCGAGTAGGTGTGATGGGGTGTGGAGCCTGAGTTGGTGAGGTGGATACCGACAACGGAGGTGGTTTGTTCTTCTTCTGCCGAACTGAGGATAAAAATTCATAAAGGTTGGGTTCACAGGAGATATTTTTCAGATTTGACAGTTCAATGCTATTTTCGTGAATAGAAAAGTTTGCTAAAATTCAATTAAAAACATGTTTTTGTCTTACCATGCGCATGATCCCGATGATCGGTAGCTGAAGAGTAAATGTGTCGACTGGAGGCTCCACTGTTCCGACTGCTGACACCCGGTGACACCCATTGGCCGTGCAGGGGCAGCCTTACCATCCCAGGAACGTGGCTCCGTTCGTCTATGTGAACCAACTTAGCTGCAGCGTGGATATCAGATAACGACTCACCTGGTTAATGATAAATTGGGTTAAGTGAATAGGAGTATAGTTTATGGAGTATACTTTTTAAACAAACGCAAGACCGGATGTAATGATGATTTTCTATTTTTAGGAATTTTAAAATCGTAGTTTTTCCGCTTTTAAACATTCTAAGGCTTTTCAAGTTCAAAGCATAAAAATAGACCAGATGAAATAAAGGATAACCTGATGTACCGGATGAATCCCGTTCCTTCGTCTCGATGATGCTGGCAAGTGGGGTTGTTGAACTCAACCTCTTTGGCATTGGCGGGTGGTGTGGAGGTATTTTGGGTGGAGTGTTAGGAGCAACCATCGGACTTTGTTTAGGAGGAAGTTGTGCAGATTTAGGAGGTACGTGACCGCCTTTAGGCGGCAGAGGGCTCGCTTTGGGCGGCGTAGGCGGGGGTTTGGGTGACGCCGGCGGAGGTGGGGCTTTGTTGAATATCGTATCTAGATATTCTCCGTCATCCGAGGGGGAAGTGGTCGGAGCTGAAACATGATAAGATGTCATCACAAAGTATTACATTAGATAAGATTTTTAATTAATGCACATACAATCGTTGTCTCACGTCGAGAGGCCCAACTTATTTTCGTGGCCGCACACTGCACATGGATGGAAATTACCGTACAGAAAGTACGTGGCGGACCCCGTACAGTGGGGCAAATATGCCGTATATGTGTCATCCCTGAGCCTAAAATAGTATTATTTTTGTCAAGTCGGATTCCATTACACTTTCAATATCTGTGTTATGTTCTGTCTTATCAAAGGAACATGGCAAGTGCGTATCAAATTTCCCCAGTACATGGTCGTTTGAGTAAATTCCGTTGTCCAACATGTACAAGTTTATCAAAGAAAATCTGGGGATCTCCCACCAAAACGACTCCATTCTTCCAACAAGTGGATCTCCTTACTCGCCCTTTGGCTCTGATGTAACAGCTAATTCCAGCTTGAGTCTCGACACAACCCCTTACACCGGAAGCGAGGAAACCAGTAAAAAACAGCCATCCTCTCTGCCTAACGCTAGAGCCGCTTCCAACTCCTTACCTCGTAGTATGCCCAAGAGAAAAATCAGTCCGACGTTCTCTCGAAGTAGCACTCTTCCGACTACAAAGGAGTTGAAAATGTCTATGTATCTGTCCACCCGAGCCGAGATGGAACCACTTAAAGACTACGTTACCGATCTCTCAACTTCTTACGAGTCTATAGTCTCCTCAGAGGGCACCTTTACTCGAGCTGGACCCAAAGTGTCGGAGTGCATTAAGGAACTGGAGGTACAAGCTAACAATGCGCTGGAGGAGATCAAAGATCTGACTGAACAGAGGGAGGCGCTGGATGATGCCAGACAGCTGGAGAATGATCGAAAACAGGTCAAATACCTGGGCAAATTCCTTCATAAAAACTATGATCTGACTTTGGAGACATTAAACTTGAGGACCCGGTACTTGTCTATTAAGTTTGCTTTTTTGAATGGAATGATCGAAAAACTGGTTAGCTTAGACTCAACGATGATCGCTCCATCTTACCTTCGGATGAAAACGTTTAACGACTGGCTCAAACACTCACAAATTATAGACGAAATCCAGGACAAAATGCTCCAGGTCAAGACCAAAAAAATCAGACTGAAACGGATGTTTCTGCAAGCTTACTTCAAGGATAGCACCATTATGAACGAATTTGATCATCCCATAATGGAACGTCCGGATTTCAACAGCTTCAAACGGATAAGCATCCGTCTACAGTCAGTTTCTCACGATATGGTATTTATGAAGAGTGACATCAACAGTATACAGCAGCAGCTGACCCAGATACTCAAAGACAATCAAACGGACCACGGTATCGACGCGCTTGGCAGTCTACTAAAAGACCGTAAATCATTCGAGAACAGGAAGATAGACGAATATGTGAAAGAATGTCTGGAATGCGAACCAGTAGAGGACAGAGCGGATGAGTGGACGAGTATCCTGGTATTTGAAGACAATTGTACTGAACCATACTCGGAATCTATCCCAGGAGCCAACCCGTCCAGGTACCAAGAATACGTGAGTGCGATGACTCTATACATTTGTGACAAGCTGAAACACGCAGGGATCATGGTGGACCCCATCAACGTGTTCGGCACTTTGGAACAGCGCATCCTACCCAGGATCTTCTCCCAAGCAATGGGAACAGTAACAAAACCCAACCTGGACGGTTTCATCTACGACAAGTGCAAGAGACTAAGTGGGTACACCCAGCAGCAGATAGGAGTCCCAACTCAGTTTGTGGAGACGAACACGCTGCCCTACTACAGCGCCATATCACGCCTCAAGAGTCTGATCTTCTCCATGACGCCCACTAAAATAATGCAGGCTATCAGTTTCGCTGCTACTGATATCCACAAGCATATGGTTAGAATTTGCTCTGATAACGCCGTTGGTGCTGATGCTTTCCTTCCTATCTGGGTGTACTGTATCATTAAAGCTAACATTCCAAACCTGGCGACCTTGGTTAACTTTCTGAAGGGCTATCTCAATCCTGATCTAAGATATTGTGAGATTGGGTATTACGTGACCTGCTTGGAAGGTGCTTGTGTCTATATCCAGGTAAGAGAACATTCCTTCAATTGTATTATGCGATCACTAAATTTCACACGAAAATATTTATAACTTGTATAATATGTCAAATACAAATGTTTATTCATAAATTGTATAATAATTATGCAAATGGTTACGAATGTTCTTCCTCAGGAGTTGACGGAAATAGACTACGTCAGTGAGAAACGGTATTTTGTATTTGATACAGAGAGGTACACAGGGGATCTGAGTAAAAAGGCTCTCTTTCGTTATATTGAAGATCACACTATAACTGGCTACAAACTCTTCTTGAAGACGGACTTTCTTAACAAGGTTCATTTTTAACAGTTAATTTCTAGAATCATCTTGCTGTCAATTAAAGTAATGTAAGAGCAGGATTTACATTTACGAACAAGACACTTAATCAAGATCTCTTATTTCTATATAAATTTGACCGAGCCTAGATTAGAACGTCAAGGCGTAAGTTTGCTGTTTCACCCACCATCTTAAATTTCACAAGCACTCCAAATACCTTAAATTTCAGAGCCACAAGCTGTACAAGTGTGCCCTGGTGTACACGGGCGAGACCACGGACATGGTCCAGGGCGGGGTGGTGGCACCAAGTACAGATATTACCAACGTTCAAGTGGAACACCTCGGGAGACTGATGAGCACCAACGATCACGTGATGGTGATACAATTTCGTTTTGTCCTAATTATTGTACTATACCTGATTTCTAATTTACATTGACACCAGATTAAGAAACGACAAGAAAATTGTGTCAATTATTTCAATTAATTTTCCTTATGCAGGTTCAAGTTGAGGAAGGGTTGATGTCAGTGGCAGTGGCGGAACAGGAAGAAGACAAAACGAAAGAAGAGGAAATAAACAGTGAATCTATTGACGACACCGGTGCGCTCATGAAAGCTGTCAGAAGACTATCCTCGGCGGCGTACGATATGGTGACCATGATATCAGAACCAGAGTCAAGCAAGATGCGGGATGGAGGGTGGCTGGAACTCAAGGCGGGAAACTTCACCACAATGAGAGATAAGCTGCAGATTGTGGTGTCGCTGGGTAGGGTTGGGGTCTGGACCCCCGAGGAGAAGGATGACTTGTTGGAGAAACTGGCAACCGGGGCTATTGATAATCTTCCTGAATCTACTTATGCTAGGTATGGAGTAGGTCTTTTCCTTTTTGGATTCTTCACCGATTGATATATAGTTCTACTTCTAGCAAATTTCTATACGCCAAATGAACCAGAAACTAGCCCACCAAAGAAGTTTCCTTGTTATTACCCAAATCCCAGAATAGCAATAAAGTACGGGTTCTATCTGAAGAACGATGCTGGAATCACGAGATTTTTGTGCGAAGTACAACTGTTGCTGAGACATCTTCACTATCATTCGGTGTTTTCGGAAATAAATGGCGTTTTGTCAGAACTCACTTCGACTTCAATTCTCACTTTTCAAAGGCAGCTCAATATCGGGGGTAAGATTTTTTTTTAGACTATAAAATAATGGGTTTAGTAGCGCTGATCCGACATCATCTACATTGTAATATAGATCTATTTTTGTGCAACTTGTAAAAAAACTTTTAAAAACTTATAGATCATGCGACTGGAATCTACGAAGAAAATAGAATTTACGTTAATAATAATATAATAACTTGCTATTTATCTAGATAAAAACGAAATTGAATTGTAATCATGAGATAAGAGGACTGACTCCTTTTGGCGGTATATCCTCAAAGTTTATCTCTTCGCCCAACAAATACTTAATTATCGTTAATAAATCATTGACATTTAAAAAATAAAATTTACATTAATATAATAATAATAATAGAATAAAGCTAAACCTAAATACAGACGAAATTGAACTGTAGTCATGAGATTAGACAACTTGTGGCGGTTGATGCTTTATCACTCGGGGGGGGGGGGGGGGGGGATCATACACTTAGTACCGTACGTGACGTTGGGTCATATTTTCTTCCAAAACACAGTTAGTACATGGTACAATTCCCAGAAAAACAGTTAGTATATGGTACTAAGGGGGGTGTCCAACCTCAAAAAACCCATTTTACCTCAGATTTCAATTTTGGGAATGGGTTTTGAGGTTTTTTTGAGTTTTTGGGTTTTTAAAAAAAATTTTCCTGTTTTTGTAACTTTTTATCTAATTCGTACTTACTTTAGGTACTTTAGGTTGGTTTGGCAGGGATTGCTTCTGGACAACAGTAACTAGTACGTCCTCCATTCATTCCTGGTTCAGATCTTTCTGTAGATTCCATTCCAGGAGTGAGTTGTTGGTGATGGCGGTGTATCCTTTGGTTGGCGGGGTATCGGGAAACGTCTCCAAAAATCGAGCAAGTGATACCTTGAAGGGTCCTAGAGCAGTTAAACTGTTCACTTGTCGTGGGAGGAGGTTCCATAGTCTCGCTGCATTCACTCCAAAGGAATTCTCGTAATGAGTGGCCACTGATCGTTGCGATTTGTTGTTCAGTGGTGGGACTATGGCTTTTATGCCATGTCGAGCGTTTTCCTTGAATACCATGTTGATGTCATTTGGAGCAAGGTCGTTTGCCATCTTCCATGTATGGATCAGGATGTATCGCTCTCTTCGCCTCTGCAGGGAGAGCAGGTCCAGCTTCTTAAGACGGTCCCAATAATCCAATTGCTGACAACCTAAGATACGGCGAGTGTAGTTCCTCTGAACATTTTCGATTGCTTCTATATCTGTGATTTTGCTGGGGTTCCAGACCGGGCAACAGTATTCTAGCCTGCTCCTCACCATTGTTTTGAAAAGGGTGAGCATCAGGAAAGGTGATCTGTCACTGAAGACACTGAAGACCCACGATGCCATTTTCTTAGCAGTTTTCAGCATCTGATGGATATGGGGCGTCCACGAGCAGTCATTTGAGAGGAGTACTCCAAGGTCTCTGACTGTTTGCGTTGGTTCGATAATTTCCCCGTTTGTTGAGCTGTAGCTGTAGTCTTCGTTGGAGAAGGGGAGTTCTCTCAATAGCAGGGATTTATTCAGCTTGTAGTTGATAACTTCAAATTTGGTTGTTATTTTGCAGGGCCCATTTGATGACATTAAACAGATCTTCTTGAAGCAAACACCTTGCTACTAAATCAGTAATTTTGCTTATAAGCTTCGTGTCATCAGCAAAGACCTTTCCAAGAGCAGTTAATAACGTGTCCAGTTGGTCATCTATATACAGAATAAACAAGATTGGACCTAACACAGTTCCCTGTGGGACACCACTTATCACAATCTGGAAGGACGACTTTTCTCCTTCGACGACCACTGTTTGCAGGCGATTCTTTAAGAACTCAGCAAGCCACTGTAGAGTTTTGCCCGTGATACCGTAGCGTTTGGCTTTAGCTAGAAGAATGTTGTGATCCACTTTATCAAACGCCTTGGCGTAATCCAGGTATATAACATCCACTTCATCGCCACTATTGAGGGTCTTCAGAATATTGTCTACATGGTCCAAAAGTTGAGTGAGGCAACTCCTTTTTTTACGGAAACCATGTTGGTGCGGAGACAAAAAGCTGTTTGATTCCATGTGCTGGACGATGTGTTTTCTTAGCACTCTCTCGAAAATCTTGATAAGATGAGACGTGATGGAGACTGGGCGGTAGTTGGCTGCTGATGTGCGGTCTCCCTTTTTGTATATTGGTGTTATACTTATATACTGGGTCTTCATACTTGGTGGTATAACTCCTGATCTAAACGAATCGTGCCAAAGTAAAAATATAGGGACTGCAAGGCTATCCTTACACTTTGTGAGAACTTTAGCTGGGATATCTCCATCAGGGGTTGAAGAGTAGGGATCCAGTTCTTTAATGGCTTCTACTATGTCGTCCACAGTGAAGGTTATGCTGTCCAGATTTCTATCTGGGACGGGGTTTAGTCCAGCAAGGCATGCGTCGACGTTGGCGGCGTTGGGGTCGCTGAATACTTTGACGTATTGCGCCTGGAGAAGCTCTGCTTTGTCAATTGCGTCCGTTTTCAGAGTCCCACTATTATCTCTGATGGGGGAGACAGACGACTTCGTCTTAGCAAATCGTTTTGCATAGCTGTAAAAGAAGCGTGGATTCGTTTTGATAGTGCTTACAGCTTTAGCTTCATTCTCATTCAATTGCTTAGTAATCAGTTCGCTAATCTCAAATGTGAGTAGGCTCACTTCTTTAGTCAACTTAGCAATGTTTTGAGAAGACGGGTTTCTTTCAGTGAGGGCTTTAATGCGTACATTAAGTTTTCTTCTTCTTCTTTTAAGAACATACTTGTCCCGCTGCTGGCGGCTTTTGCCGGTTGAGGTCGAACTAGAATCTGCTGTGCTTTTGAGGGGAGAGTGAAGGAGGGTAATCTGGAGGACCGTTAGTCTGATAAGCTCTAAAAAGTCACTCCCGTCCTTATCTTTGTCACATAGTTCGTTTAGTGATTTCCAGTTTATACTAGAAAATTGCTCATTCATTGTATCAAAGTCTGCCCTGTGGAAATCAGCAGCTCTAAATGAGTATTTATCATGTGATGATGCGGTATCTTTTTTAGGACTGAGGGGGTTGTACCCTAGCAGGAGTTCCACGAGTCGATGGTCAGACACTTGGGTTTCCCTGATGTTTGTTTCCGCTATATCCTGATGTTTGTTAGTAAACACCAGGTCGATGATGTTGTCCTTTCTAGTAGGCTTGAGGATCATTTGCGACAGGAAGTTCTTATTCATGAATTCCAAAAGATCCGAACATGCTTGTTGGTTAACAATGGACAGTTCTTGAGTTGCATCAGGAGTCTCCCAGTCTATATTTGGAAGATTGAAGTCTCCCATGATATATAGATCTGGTGTCCTATTTTCTAATGTGAGGTGGTTAAGTTTTTCTTGAACCGTGTTCAAGACTTCTCTAAATGAGTTTGCTGGGGCATCAGGTGGACGATAGATTACAGAGACAAATGTATTCATACTGTCTATAAAAACGTACAGCATATTGCAGTGTTTGTCACTGTGACTGATGGCGTCAGAGAAAATAAGCGGTTCCGCAACATATAGAGCACAGCCACCCCCTTTTCGGGTAGGACGGTCTGCTCTGATACAGTTGTAGCCTTGGATTGCGACTTGGGCATCACTTATGTAAGGCTTGAGCCAAGATTCTGTTATTGCGAAGAAGGGTACAGGTAGGCCTCCTTCCTCTTCAATGATGTGGTCTTTCAAGAATGGTATCTTCCATTTGACCGTGCTAGTGGCGGCTGGGGAAATGGACCTTGCATTCAAAAGCAGGATGCGGGATAGTTGGGGATGAGGTTCATTGGCATGTGATGTGTTTGGTTGGGGATCACCATCGGGGCAGTTGGCGGCATCGATAATGGCATTTGTATAGGACCTTGGTGGGACCTTGGGCGCTGTAGGGTCCATTGAGTCTCCTGGATGATTGATGGAAGTTGGCTCCGAAGTTCCGTCATTTTGGAGTCCATTTGGGATATTATGCCATCTTTGAGATTTTCCAATAGTTTCTCTAAAAAAGCACTGTCTTTCTCAGAGGTACTGTCTTTATGACGTCTGGCAGGTCTTCCATTTTCGACAGTGGGCGGGTGTGGGGTGTATACGGAGTACAAGCTTCCCATTTTTTCAGGGTCATATGAGTTAAGAGGGGGCCATTGTCCTCTGTTATTTTGGTTGCTATATGACTCTAATCTTTGCCTTGGTTGAGCTTGCTGTTGCTGTTGCTGTTGCTGCCGGGAATTTTGTCTGTCGTTTATTGCCGTCGCAGTACCAACAGTTTTTCTGGCAGTTCCCTTTAGATGAACATAGCCGCATTCTTTGTTCAGGCAACATCGCTGGGATACTGAATCTCTGCACAGTTTTGGGTGGTAGAAAGTGCAATCTTTCATTTTCTTACACCCTTGGTGTCTATCATTACCATACTGCGTGTAATAACGGCACCTAATAGGGTGCTGGAACGGGCACTTCTTCCCTTCAATGGGTCTCTTCCCAGTGAGACCATGGGGGCATCTTCTCATTGTGTATTCTTTGCAGATCTGTAAAATGATTGATTTTGGACACGAAGGGAAACACACAAATTTGGCTTGGAAACTTCGTTTATTACATCGCTAGAGCCTACAAAAAAGAAATAAATTAGTCAGATAAAATCAATCATAATACTCAGTCAAAGAGATTCAAAAATTTATAAAAAGGTCATGATTAGAGAATATCATGAAAGTCGATCAGAAATTGGAATACGATAAAATTGTTTCACTGATAGCGTGGTAGATAAAATTTATAAAGAAAAATGACGCAAAATTGGCACAAAATTGTTAAAATTAATTAATTACAGATATTGGTAAAAACCACAAAAAAACTACCTTTTAATTTCCATCCTATTTAAACCCCAAACATTAGTTCTAAACTTTGCACAAAATCTAGCCTCTTCCCTATCTAATAGGGAAGGTTTAGTCTTTTTCACAATCCCGAATTTGAAACAGTCAAAACTGAAA